AAGTCCTGTCTGACACCATTTGTTTGGCTGCCTGGTGGGGAGGGGGTGCTGGAGGTCCCACCAAGCCCCTCCTTGGGAAGGAGATGCCTTTCCCTCAGCAGCCAGTGGGGAGGGTGAGGATCCCATCCCACCCATGCTGGGTGTGAGGGTCACCCTCAGAAGTGGGTTTGGTTCAGCTCTGTCAGGCAACCCCAAGATAAAAGACAAGTAAAACCCCTGGGTTTTACTCCACACCGTGAGAGAAGAGCCTGTACAGGGAGAGCAGTGGGTGGCTGGCACAACTTTTAGGATTTTGGGGATAGAAATAGTGGGAACAGTGGTGAGGGCTGATGCTCTGGGCTGACTCCAGTGGGATGGAATGGCACCAGCTCTGCTAAGTGTAAAGAGAAAATTAACAAAGTGTGGAGGATTATGGGGAACAACATCTCTCTCCTACCTCTGGGAAGAGGCAGAGATGACAAATATGTGAACCCACTTTGCTTTAACATGGTTTGAAGCTGAAAATTTCCTTCCAAACCACATTTCTTGCAGGGGAAACTGTGTGCCAGAGAGGCCTATGTCACAGATCAGAAGGCAACGGGGTTAAAATGAGCTTTCTGGGGAATTTCTGCAAATTGGGAGAGTTTAAATTTGATGCAGCGAGTGATGAAGGAAGGGGAGCCTTTTCCTGGCCTTTGGCTGAGGGTCTTGCAGCCAGTCCTGACAGAAGGGAATATCCATCCACGGGCTTCTTCTGTCACCCTGGTGCCAGGAATAGACGCTGATAGAGTGCAAAGTGCTGCAAGCCTCGGAGGATCTGAGAGGAAATGCTTCTTCCCTGGATGCCCAGCTCGGTCTCACCCTCCGGGTGGGGGCACAGCAAGGTCGGCCCAGGGTTCAGGCTCTTTTGGGGTGCTGGGGCTGCAGGGCAGCCTTGGGAAAGAGACGAGAGAAAGGACAGGTCAAAATTTGGCAGCTCCTGCACCCCACAGTGCCCTTTCCCTTTGGCCTCTGATGCTTCCATCTCCCTCTCCAGCAAGCACACGTGGATCTTTAATGGAAATAAAAGAAAGAAATGACAGGAACGGGGAAGAGCCGGTGCCGGGCACTGCAGGGAGGCGGGGCAGACACGGCTGGGAGTGTTCCGCTCTCTCTCACGGTATTACCCCCGCAGCAGCCAGGGGTAACGGGATCTGCGAGAGTCTGATCCTCCCAAGCCCTTAATTGGATGCGGGAAAAGTCCAAAATGCGGCTCACTCTCCTGCTTCCCACAGCCGTGGCACACACACCGCTCTCCTCTTGTCACACAGGGTGTTTCCCCCTGAACCAGCCCCTCCTGCATCTCCCAGCACCCAGGGCAGAGAGCCAAAGCTGGCCCCATGTACAGGAGCCCTCCCGGATGAGAGAAGTGCTGCTGGTGGTGCGATATTCAAAAAATTTACAGACACACCTTTTTCTGTTCTGCAAAGAAAACCCCTTGGATAGACAAGGGGCAAAAGGCAGAAAAAGCAGAGAGCAGTGCCTTTTGTGGGTCTGGGCTGTGGGATGGGGATGGGAATGGGATGAAGGCTCTGCAAGGATTGTGCAGACTGGGATGTGAGGATGAGTGTGCAGGGAGCACCCACATGCGCCAGGCAGCTGCTGAGGCAGCACCCCCGGCCTGGAGGGGCTGGTGTGGCTTTTGCAAGGCTCTTGCATCCCCCAGCCCTCCCTCCGTGGCAGTTTCCACTGCAAACAGCAGCAGTCCTCCTCTGCAGTGCAGGACTGGGACAATGCTCCCTGGATAAGAGGGCCTTCTGTCCCCAGCTGCACCAGAGCCAGGCTCTCTCCCCAACCTGCAAGCCTTTTTTTTTATTATTTTCTTTTTTTTTTTTCCTCTTACAAAATCAATTTACAGACAGCTCACTCATTTTTCCCCCTTGCAAACTTATTAGGTATTCAGTCCCGGCTAGCACTCGTAAGCATCCTTTGTCCCAGGGAGGGCTGGAGACCCCTTCATTAGCAGTGATTACCTCTGAGCAGTTTGACAGCCTCCCAGCCCGCTTACAAGACTCTCCCATTCAGCCCTGCCCGGGGCTGCCCCGCTTCTCAAAAGAAACGGAAACATTCAAACATTTGTCCCCCCTTCCCAGCTGAAGAGAGGAAAAGCTGTTCCTCTTTTCCGCCTTCCCCATTCACTTCACTTTTGATACAATATTTTCCTTCTTTGTTAAGCCGGAGAGAGAGGGGTCAAGGCAGACTTTTTAGTGACCCTTTTCGGAGCGTTTTGTTTAATGTAAATACAAGCTCCTTCACTCTTACCCGCTTGTAATTATTACTATTTTAAAAACAACCAGAGGCTTGGGAGGGCGACGGCTTGGGCTGATCTGTAGGGGGAAAAAAATTCCTGAAAAACCCGGGGGAGGACATTCAATAAGGGAAGGGGAAAGAGAGTAGGGAAAAAAATAACAAACGAGGGGACGGGGTGGGGAAACTGCGGGGTTTTGTTTTGGGTCTTGTTGGTGGAACTGAAGTCGCGGGCGCATCCCACGGCCCACGGTGAAGCAGCGGAGCTGGGAGATGCGGAGATGCTCGGATCTCCCGTTCTCCCACAACAAGCAAGGCCGGGCAGCGGGGCTGCTCTTCCCATAGAGGCTCCGTGCTCCTTTCCCCACCCCGGCCACTCTTTCCGAAGGTTGGTTTGTGCTCTTGCCGCCAGCACCCGCGGGAGGGTCCCTGCATTCACTCCCTGCACTCACTCCCTGCACTCACTCGGGAGATGCCGCATCCTTCACGACACCCAAACCCTCTGTCGAAAGAGACAATATCATCCCCGCTGCCCATTGAACAAATTCCAGGTGTTTTTTAGTGGCAAAGAAATCCCGCGTTAGCAGACGCTGAGCGCATGTGCTCTCTGCTCTCTTTCTATCTTTAATTCGCCACAATAAGCGCTGCTACTCTGCCCGCAGAAGCCGGTGGAGAAATTGAATCCAATTCACCGATTTTCCGGGGAAGAAAAGAAATAAAGAGAGAACACGGTGTATTTCGGCAGATTCCGTTTCGAGGGCGAACACCGCTTTTGCTCCCAAAACAACCTCCTGGATGGGAAGCGCTGCCCATCACAGAACGCCAAACCCAAGATAAAACCCCAACCTCGTTTGGCGCTTAAACAGCACAGCCGGGCTCTTCTTGCTCGGCTTAAATCCAGAGGGGTTCAGCAGGCAACAAACCTCAGGGTTTGGGGTGCAAAGTGCTCTCCTGACCTCCCGTAGGTGGGTACCCCAAACTCAGGTGGAGATCCCTGCTCTGCCCCTGCTCCCCGCCCTGCAATGCGACCCCTCCCCACTCCTAAAATGTAAATTATTTGCCTGTCCACCAGGAAAAGAGCTGCCTGTAAATTTACTTGAAGAAAAAAGTTTAAAAATTCCTGCTACCTGCCTCATCCCTGGAATAATCTGTAGGGAAAACCAAGGCACACGCGTTTGGGGACGGAACGCAGCTTTAGGCATGAGGGGTGTAAACGCCTTGAATCCAGGTTTTAAATTCGAACTTAGAGAGGCAGAAATCGCTGCCTAGACGGGAATATCCGTCCCGATAAAAGGCAGCAGGGCTGAATTAAACCATCAGGGAGCTGAAATGCCCCTGCCCCTCGCAGGCAGCCGGAGCCGGGGCATCTCCCGCTGCCAGCGCTGCCCGGCTTCCCCCGGTGCCAGGCTGCGGCTGCTAAATAAATCGAGCCAAGCAATCAGCTTACCGGGGAGGCATCTCTCTGAGGACAGGCAAGTAAACGCGATGAGACCGAGAAGACAAAAAAAGCACAGCTCAGGCGATTTAAAGATCAATGTCAAATTGTATAATATAAAATCCTTCTGCTGGGGAAAAAAGCTTAGCACGCTCCTTGGACCTGGCGTTTGGTCTCCTCCAGCAAAACCGCCGCAAAACAAAGCGAGGGAGGCGGATGGTGGGGACAGCCACGGGCACATCGCAGAGGTCCCGATTTGGGGTAATTTAGCCCCCGTTGTGGCCTTTCACTGGCATGGAGAACTGTTCATTCTCCATCTTCTCCTCGCCTTTGCCAGGCGAGGGAGGAAGCTTAGTTTCCCCGGCGGGGCTGTGCCCCAGCCATTCCTCTCCATAATATTATTTTTTTTTTCATTTTCTTCCCCTCGTTCCTCTGAGAAAATTCACCTCCCATAACCCCCAGCGCTTCAGCCCTTGGAGGAGAAGAAGCCGAGGCGATGCCGCCTCCTTCCCTTCCTCGGGCACCCGCATCCCCCGCCGGCCCCGTTCCCGCTCCTCTCGCCTCATCCCGGCTCCTCCCAGCTCCCTGCCTGGCAAAAACATCATCCCTGCTCCCAAGGACCGGCTAGTTCTGTCCTGCCGAGCTGCTGCTGAAATACCCGTGGCCTCGGAGATCTGCTCTGCGTAAACCGGCGGGCTTGGAACAGACACCGTCATTTCAAAGCAGATGCGAGGGGTCGTTCACCAAATATTTTATTATGGTTTTAGGCTGCTTCATACAGTTTCGTCCTGCACATGCTCTACAAGTCACCTGTGCACATAGAGAACAAGCCAAAAATAATAATAATTAATAATAATAATAGAAAAAAAATCTACCATAGCAATCCCTTAAATAAGTAAATAAACATTATATATATATATATAAAAAACCCTTTAAAGTAAAGCAAAACCCAACCAAAAGAACAGCGTCTTTTCAACATGAAACAACCCCGCGTGATAAGAGCGGGGGCTCAAACATTTTGCAACTTGGCATTCTGTTTCTTGATGATTTTTTTTTTACGTTTTCTGGGCTTTCTTTAATTATTTCTTTTTAGGCATCAATTCTGCAAATCCTTCGAAATAAAGGCGACAACGATTTTAATGACGTGTTTTAATGCAGTCTGCTGCGGGGCTGGGAGGGATGCGCGGCCGGGGAGCGCCCGTACCCCGCGTTGGGCACCGCCAGCCCCGCCGCTCCGGCCGCGTCCGAGGCACCGCTGGGCCGGGCCTCCCCCTCCGCCCGCTTGGCCACGGCCGTGGTGTCAGATGTCACATTCACTGTCGCTGGATGTGATGGAGATGGCGGAGGTGGCCGCTTTGCTGGAGAGGCTGGCTGCGGGGCTGGAGGCGGCCCCCAGCGCCTCCCCGCCGCTCTCCTCCTCCGCTGGCAGCGAGCGCACCGAGCCCTGCGTTAGGACCTGCTGCTGTAGCCTGCAAGGAAGCGGCACACACAGCATCACCGCCCGCCCTCCGCACCCCCCGGGTCCCCCCAGGGGCTCCCCGACCCTGCCCCGGCTCTCACCGCTCATACCAGCGATGGGAGAGAGGAGGAGCTGGGTGGGCACCCGGTTTCTCAGCTCTGTCTGGTAAACAGGGTGCCCACCTCAGGGTCAGGCCCGCTCCTCGGCTGGCACACCCAGGGGAAAGTTGTCCCTGTCCTCCGCAGCCTGTCCCCAAAGCGGGCCTCGTCTTAGGGGTCAGTAATGCCCTGCAGCAGCTCCCGGGCGGCGTCTCCCGGCCAGTAGGCCTTACACCTTCTCTTAGCCCGTAAAAAAGGGCTCGGGGTGGCAGCACCCACGTCCCCGACCTGCGACAGCCCGGCTGAGGGGTGACAAGGGGAGTTTTCCCCACCCCGGAGTCCTGGGCAGGATATAAAGGGGGAGCTCTGCTCCCTCCCCTGCTTGCCGGGCCGCCTGCTTGTGCCACTAGTGTTGGGATAACGCTGCTCCTTTAGAGCCGTGATTTTGTTCTGTAACATATATATTTTAAAATTATATGTATATATATTCATGCTGTATTTCTATTATATATTTTTATATATATAATAGAAACAAGAACAATATCCCAGGGAATGTTCCCGGATGGCTCCGGTGGAGGAGCAGGGCACGGCGGCTGCGGCAGGGCCCGCAGAGGGCATGGCTGGTTCTGCTCAGGATGGACATTTCTCAAACCAGCATTTATACGTCCGGGCAAAACTTTGGAGGGGTTTGTCTCTGCTCAGCCCCTGAACACGGCCCTTCTCCCGCCAGCTCCAGCCGGTGGCTGCAGGCGCCCCTTCTCCTGCTCCCCCTGTCCCGCTCCCCCACAGGGCAGCCAAAAGGGAGCCCAGGGCGGGGATCCTCCCCTATTATATCGAAGTAATTAAAAAGCCTTAATATTTTCCTGCTGCTCCTGCTTTATCTCGCTGAAAAATCTCCCGGGATCGTTTCCCCCATCCTCTGCCGGCAGTCTCGCACCGCCTCCCCGCAGGCTCCGGCCCCGGGGGAGCTGTGTCCTGCACCTTACCTGTTCTTAGCGGCTGCTGCCCTGTCCCTTTGCCTGCGGTTTTTGAACCAGTTGCCCACTTGCGTGGGGGTAAGTCCCGTGGCCTGAGCCAGTTCCCGCTTTTTGCTGGGGTTGGGGTAAGGGTCCTGCAGGTACCACTCCCGCAGCAAATGCCTCGTCCGCTCCTTGAAGCAATGTGTCTTCTGCTCGCCGTCCCAGATGGTGCGCGGCAGCGGGAACTTCTTCCTCACCCGGTACTTGTCCACCGGCCCCAGGGGTCGGCCCCGCAGCTTCTCCGCCTCCTGGTAGTGCGCTTCCAGCCAGAGGGCTTGCAGTTTGGCGTGGGACTCCTTGGTGAACTTGTGGTTCTCCAGGATGTGGTAGAGCTCCCGGTAGTTCCCCGTGTGGAAGGCCACGATGGCCCGGGCTCTCAGCACCGACTCGTTCTTGTTGAGCGCCTCGCAGGCCGCGGGGGCCACGGGCAGGGACCACAGGAAGCGCCCCAGGCGCTCGATGTCCCCGCTCTCCTCCAGGGTCTCGCATACCCCGGCCACCTGCTGCGGGCTGAAATTGAGGATGGGCAGCTGGAACATGGAGGCGGCGCCGGGCTCCGCTCCGCGCTCCGCGCACCCGCGGCGATGCCCGCCGCCACCGCGCACAGCCCCGCGGCGGGGAAGGGGCAGCGGCCCCGGGCCGCCCCTCGCTCCGCTGCTCCGGTGCCGGCCGAGCTGCCGCGGGAGGGACGGCGGAGGGCGGAGAGGCGATGGGGAGCGCTCGGCAGCTCCGGCGACTGGGGGCGGTGGGCAGGGGCGAGGCGGAGGAGGATGGAGCGAGGAGGGAGGGCGGGCGGGGGGGGGGAGGGAGTGAAGGGAAAAAAAAAAAAAAAAAAAAAAGAGGAAAAAAGAAGAAGAAAAAAATGAAACCAGAAAAGGCACAAGCGCAGCTCCCCGCCGCCGCCGCGCTGCTGCGGGAGCGGCTGATTCGCTGCGGGCTCGGCAGATTGGCTCCCGGGTTTCCATGGCGGGGCTGCCACTCACTGTCAGCCGCTGCCAATCACGGCGGAAGGGTCCGCACCGCCCCGCTCCCCGCCCCGCTCCCCGCCCCGCTCCCCGGGCACCGCGACCCCGCCGCCCGCCCCGCCGACCCGGACAGGGCAGAGAGCCCCGGGGAACGCAGGGTGAGGGGAGGGAAGGCGGCTCCCTCCCAGGCTGGAGGGAGCGGTCCCAGCGATAGGACGCCCGGGACCCCCGCACCCTCCCCGGTAAAGCTGCGGGCTCCGGCCCGGTGATGCTCCGGCACGGAGCTGCTCGCAGCCGCCGGCGGAGAGGGGGACAAGGCAGAGCTGAGAAATCAGATAAAAAGATTGGCTGCGTATCGGTGACAGTGATGCTGGGAGTGTCACTGACAATGGATGCGGCGGGAGCACGGCAGGAACAGCCGAGATTTAGGGAAAAACTCTCCCCTTTCCCCCTGCAGGTGACTTCCCATTTCGGTTAAGACGAGGAATTGTCCGCAAAGAGCCCAGTGTCCTTTCCCGTTCAATCACAGCGCTATTTTTTAATTTATTTTTTTTTAAACATTTAAACCCTTATTGTTTTCGGCTGAATGGTCCTGAATAGACGCCGAGAATAGTCGCGAGGAGTGAGAAGTCATCTGTAGGTCAGGAAAGCGACTTAAAGCAGATTTCGGGAATCTTTTGAAATATCGATCACCTTGTAATAATCATTCCCCGTGGGTTTTTTTCCCCCCTCGGTGCCCCGAGAGAGCGATCGCGGGGCTGGGTGAGAGGTGAGCCCCGGCCGCCCCTTCGGAGGAACGGGGCCAGCTCCAGACGTCTCGGGGTGGGATGAAATCTCTTCCTGAGCTACGAGGATACGATTTATTTTCCGTAGAGAACGGGCGGATGATCAAGAAGCCACTCTTTATTCTACAAATAGCTGCTCAGTGGTAATTTCTTCCCGGGAATTAGGGACCATGCTCGGAAAGGCAGCATATATTTTGAATTAAGCTCAATATGTTCTCCCCTCTGCTCTTTGCAATGTATTTTTTTTTCTAGTATGCTTGTCAAAAAAATCCCTTCTTAATTTGAAATCTTGTTATTGTCTCTTCCCGCCCCCCCTTATTATTTTTTTTCCTATTGTTTTTGTTTTCCTTTCTTCCCTTCTTTAAGAAAGCTCCTTTGCTAGTTGCCTGTAGACCGAAATTAAACAGATTTACATTTTCTCCAATCATTTCTCTGCAGAAATGGAGCTGGACTGAGGCTTGCCGTCTTTTCTTTAGTATCAAGTACAATTTGTCTTTTGCTTGTGAAGATTTGGTAAATCAGAAGGCAGATAGATAGCGCAGATGGTCGGAGGTGTCGGGTCAGATTATGGTACGCCTCAGTACAGTGCTAAGCTCATTCTGACGGAAAACCCTGATATTATTTTCACAGATCTACACAGTTCACTTGAAAAAAACCCTTCGAGCCATTTACATCATTTATGTGAGGCTCACAGCTAGCGGGATGGAAAAGCTTTCAATACTGCTCATTTTCATAAAACCCGACAGAGCTGGGGAGACATAAAAGCGCACACAAAACTCACGAGTTCAGAGACACTCCACAGAAACTTAAAAAAATAAAAGGAGTGACTTTTCGGCTTCACCTTCATCCAGGTTTGATTTGCCGATCTGCTTAGGGAAAAAAAAAAAAAAAAGGGAGGGGGAAGAAGAATTGTAGAAGAGGAGAATATAATGTATAAATATTGCTGAGGGTCCTCTTCCAGTCTTCCATCCCACCACTGTCCTCTCCCTTAGGGAAAAACAATTATTTGACCAAGTCAACGAATGATCCCAAATAACCTTTTCGGGCAGGAATTTAAAAAGCCTCCAGACCTCCTCGGTGTGAGCATCGGGCTTCCCCAGCGAGCGGGTGAGAGGGCGGCGACCTCGGCGGCTCCGGGCGCGGCCCCGCGGGCAGGAGCGGCCCCGCCGAGCCCCGGCAGCGTCCTGGGACGGGGCCGGTGGAGAAAAACCTCTGCTGGGAGAGAGGGAAGGATAGAAAGTCTGTGTTAATGGGTAGCTAATTCAGAACGGACAGATGATGATGATGGTGATGATGGAGGTGATTGCTAATATTACTGAAGGGGTAATTTTTAAATTTTTTGCTATTTTTTAAAAATCATGCACATGATCTGGCGAGGGAGTTGCTGGGCTGCAGCCTAATGACCATGAACAGAGCGAGACAGGCTCCGTAATGAAAGCCAGGACTGTAGGCTAAAGAAATGAATCCTCATTAAGTGCGGCTGGCAGGGGCGAGGGGCTGTCCCCCAGGTCCCCAGCCTTTATTCCCCAGAAACCGGCCCGGATGGGGCGATCTGGCAGCGCTGCTGGGAGGGGAGAGGGACAGAAAGAAAAGCGACACCGAAATGGACCCAGGAGCCTTGTGTTAACCATTGGAAGGGTCACGCAGGGCGGAAAACCAGCCCAGCCTCAGTAGCTCTGCACCCTCTCCAGATGGGAGCTATGGGTTCTGATTTTGGGAAGTGGCACTGGTGTGACAGGATTGTCCCTGTTTGGGAAAGGATCTTGGAGCTCCTTGCTTTGTGTCACCAGGGCCGAGAGAGATGAGTTTCAAGGGGGCCCCTCCATCCCTTTCCCAGCTCTCAGGGAATTTTATCCATGGTCTGCACCTTGACCGGTTCCCCGTTTCCCCGCCGCTCCACAGGAGCTCTACAGCCGGACCGGGCCGGGCTTTGCCTCCGGAGCGGGATCCGGAGCGATGGCAGCGACCCCAGGAGCGACCCCAGGAGCGACCCCATCCCCGTGGGACGCGCTGCCCGACCCGAAAAGCCGAGATTCCTGCGGTGCCCGAGCTCCTGCCTCAGCCCCGGTGTCTTGTTAGAGCTGCGACCGAGCCTGGGGGGCACTTGGCAGTGCCCTCTTCATTTGGGCCCTTTCCCCCTATTTTCTTCTTTCCTATATAATAAACACTACTTGTGACATTGATAGCAGGCAATTTTAACTATTTTTATTTAGATGACAGCTTTGACCCTTGCGATGAGTTAACCCTGCAGAGACAAACCCACTGGAGAACAAGAAATAAAATTGTCCATAATAAAATATTTATCAAAAGTATGACAGACATCTGTAGCATCTCGGCGGCCTGCGTGGACACGGGGGTTCTGGCCTCAGGATAGGACATATTCCCCTCTCTTCAGAACCTTAAAGCCAAAATACGCTGAGCAATATATTTATACACCTTTGCATCAGCATTTATCAGCTATCCTGGGTCCTAGAACCTCAGTCACTGGGGATTATTTATCTAGACGGAGTTTCCAAACGCAGCAGAGGTGCGACGACATTTTTAAAGCCCTTGATTGGCGTTAAGTAGTGAATTAAAAAATACCCTGGGGAAGGAGAAGCCTCTCTTCAAAGTCTCGGTAGGGTTGTCAGAGATGCGGGAGTTCATTAGGGGATGCTGACGGGCAGAAGGGGAGCGCAGGCGGTCCCTGGGGCGGATATCTGGGAATGCAGCCGGGATTTCCCGGCCTCGGATGGGTCTGGGCTGGTGCCGCGGAGCGCTGCGGGACGGGCAGGGCTGGGCAGGGCAGGAGGGTCCCCGTCCTGCCCCGGCTGGCTCCGAGCAGGCAGAGGATGCTCAGCCCCAGGACAGTGCCCGCTGCTGAGGATAGAAAAGGTTACTGAAATATCAGCCCCCCTCGGGGAGCCGGGACCGGGTTCTGGGGAGCGTTTCCCACCGAGCCATCGGGAGCTTTGGTGGAGAAACTCAAGCTCGGGATGCTGGAGTGGGGGATGCTCCGTGGGGAAACGACCTGTGTTTCCACGTGCTTCATTGCCCTGCTATTTTTAAGGGCGCCTTCATTGTGGAAATAGCAGCTATCAGTCCTTTCATTTCCTCCTAAAGTAAATTTGTATTTAAATCTGTAATCTCCTTAATATTAGAGAGTATGGGCAGGTTGGATACTCACTTAAGCTCCTGATACCTGTTGAAATCACCAGAGTCCCTAAAATGCTGCTGGACAGAGAGAGATGTTCACCCACTTTTTACTCTCACACTATATATTTCATTAAATTTTTGTTCTACACCATATACTCATTAAATCTTTGTTCTTTGCTGTATTATTTGAGTTACTTGTCAAAAAAGAAGTATCAGGCCATGGCTGGTATATCTGAAGTTAAAATAAAGTTGCACTGAAAACACAAAATATCGAAATTATTTTGAGATTGGTAAGGAAAGGCATTCCTTGTACAGGCCTCTGGTCAAGGCCATGGCTGCAGACAGAAAGGATCTACTGCCCAAGATTATTCTTTCATTTTCTTTCAGGTGTATGAAAGGTTTTTTGGGTGTATGAACCTGGTTTTAAAGTTTTGACTCCTCTGGGGTTTGTCTGGCTGCTGCCTTCACCTGCAGGTAAGTACACACACTGCCAAATCTTCTTCTACATTGAGATGTTCCTGTGCAATCTTCAATCTGCTTCCATCAGGATTTCACTGAAAATTTCAACAAGAGCAACAAAATCACGAAGCATTCAAATAAATAGATTTTTTTGATTGATCGTGTTTTTGTCCCACATTGCCTCTCCTCTCCTCTCCTCTCCTCTCCTCTCCTCTCCTCTCCTCTCCTCTCCCTTCAAATATTACAACTTCTCTCAGGACAGG